GGTCCAGTACGGGCGCAACACTGAGGGTTGCGATCCGTTGCCAGACACGGAAAAAGACAAAAAGGAAAAAAAAAAAAAAGTCATCATCTACTTTGTTACTATAGTCTGAACAGTATTTTTGAAAAGGCTTTTTCATACATCTCACATGGTCCACTACCATAAGAAACTGGTTCTACAGTCAATAATAATCAAGAAGATTTACCTAGGATGAGTAACCAAACTAGGAATGAAGTGCAAGTTTCCCAAATCCCAATGTAGGGGCTCATTTTACTATCAGAAACACAGGATTTTAAAAGGCTACCTTTTTTAAATTATTTTTTTAAATTCTATTAATTGATCATCGTGGAATGTATAATTCTTAAAAATTCAGTCTTTTTCAAATAGTGTACTGCAATAAAGAATTTTCAAGTTGAAGCAAGCAGAAAAAACTTAAGATACATTTACTAACAAATTAGTTTTCCTTTAGATAAAAACGTGTTTTGTAGATTAACCACTGAACAGCACACACCTTAACATTATCAAAAACCCAGGTATCCAGTTTTGTTACATCATCAGCACCAAAATCTTCTTTTTTAGCATCATAACTATGTGCATAAACATAGTCTCCACTAGCACCTGAAAAGGAAATTTGGGAAAAATAATTTTTAAAAAATCTTTTAAACTGTCATAAAATATGAGGTAGTCATTTAACAATTTTTATGAGTAACCAGAATTTTTCACAAAGCACTTTGTGTTATGATAGGAAAGGGAAAGATGAGAGGAATAATTAAACATTTATTTATTTTATGTGTCATGGACCATGCTATGTACTTTAACATATTCCATTGCTTTTTGTCCTCACAATAACACATTTTAATTTTACAGATACATTACATGTAAGTTAATTAATTTACCAAAGTCATAATTCTAATAATCAAAACAAAAATAAGCACCACAGTTTGTCTCCCTTTGAGGATTAAACCATTCAAAAAATGTGTGCCTCTAAGGGTGATACATCTAAAATGAAGATATTTGGTGTGTAAACCTTCCTAAAGCAAGAAGAAAATTTAAATATTTTACTAATTTTATTCGTAGACTATGTGTATTTTTCTCAGTATAAGGGAATAAATATTGCTTATTGCCAAACAGTTTGAAGAGGTCAACGGATATGATAATCTTACACATTTGCAAGATTTTATTAAGAATCTAATCAATTTACTGAATTTCTGGGTTAGATAGGCTCTTGCAAGTCATAATGAAAAAATGACAATCTCTATCACATCAGCTCATTTCTAATGACCCTATTCCACAGCTTAGCCATTGTACTTCCTACATCCCAAATAAAAAGAACTGAATGGGGAAGAGGAAAACAGAACTGTGGTTATTAGAGGGGGAAAACGGAAGAAGGGGAGGTGGAAAGAAGTTGATTAATGGACACAAAGAATACTTACATTTTGTAATGATGAATAGGTTAATTATCCTAATTTGATCATCACATATTGTACACATGTATTGATATTAAAATCTGAACACCAAACATGCATAACCAATTATGTTTCAATAATAAAATTAATTATTTAATTAACTGTTTTCCAGGAAAAGGAAAAAAAGAAAAAAGAGAGATCTTAGTGGGTTTGTTGGTTACCATAAGAAATGGAACATTCCTATTGGATTGTCTCCAATTCAGGCATTGGTCCTGTCCCATCAATTATAGCCAGAAGTGGGAAGGTTTGGTAAGCCATAGCAACTTAATAAGCTCTCACCACCACCAGCCCCTCAAGAAGATAAACTGTTTTCCAAAGAAGGGAATATATAAATGGCAAGAAGTTCGAGGGTTTTTTTGGTCTCCCCAGTATAATAATTTTTATGAATATCATACGTAAAATTCTGAATATGTATTTTTCTTTACACAAAACACATAATAATCCTCAATACTTCCAGTTCTTATAATTACACACATGGCTAAGTATAATGTCACAAAACTTTTTCATTAAATGAAATGATCAATCATTTTGGTCTCACTAAAAAGCATTTAATGATATGAAATTCATCCAACTGATTTTATAAAATAATATAAATTTTCTATTCAAGAAATGTCCTAATACTTGCAGATTTATGCACAACAATAAACACAACAAATCCAAATGCCATATTCAATATATTAAATGCCATGTTTTAATGCCATATATATTAAATGCCATACAGTCAGCCCTCCATATCAGCTGGTTCCTCATCAGTGGATTCAACTAACTTTGGATAGAAAATATTCGGGAAAAATCCCACAAAAAATAACAATACAACAATAAAAAATAATACAAACTTAAGAATACAGTACAACAACTATTTATATAGCATTTACCTTGTATTAGCTAACATAAGTAACCTAGAAACGATTTAAAGTATACAAGAGGATGTGCATAGGTTATATGCAAATACTACGCCATTTTATAAAAGGGACTTGAAATCCACAGATTTTAGTATCTGCAGGGGTGCTAAAACCAATCCCCTGTGATACCAAGGGGATGATTGTATATATTAAATGTCAAAATACATGAAATATTCATATATTAAAATAGGAATTACAAATATAAATTTTAACATTTAAATTTTTAAGTAAATATCTACTAACTTCTTTAATAATTTAAGTGTAATAAACCAGACATCAATATCATCATCATAATGAAGTTATATGACAAGTATGTTGCTA